CCGCTACAGCGCACAGATGCACACAGCTATGGCACTCACTTAAATGGTACTTAGGGAGCTGGCAGAAATGCCCACCAAGCCTCTTCCCATCATTTACAAGCAGTCCAAGCTGACTGGGCAGGCCCCAGTTGACTGGAAAYTAGCAAATGTAACATGCTGAAGGGTTGGAAAGAGGATCCAGGGAWCTACAAACCTGTYAGCCTGACCTYRGCACCAKGGAAGGTCATGGAGCAGATCACCTCAAGAACCATCACACAAAACACACRAGACAATCAGGAGAGGAGGCTCAGCCATTGTGGCTTGACCTGCTTGACCAATCTGATCCTCTTTTCTGACAGGGTGACCTGCTTAGTGAATGACAGAAAGGCTGTTAATGTTGTTTAGCTGGGTTTTAAGGAAGGTTTTGATACCACTTCCCACAGCATTTTCCAGGAGAAAATGGCTGTTCATGGCTTGGATGGGTGCACTGTTCACTGATAAAATCTGTGTGGATGGCCAGGCCCAGAATGTGGTGGTGAATGGAATCAGATCCCGTTGGCAGCTGATCACTACTGCTGCTCCCCAGGGCCCAGCACGGGGTCAGTCCTGTTTAATATCTTTATTGAGGATTTGGATGAGGGGATCGAGGGCATCCTCAGTCAGTTTGCAAATGACATCAAATTGGGTGGGACTGTTGATCTTCTGGAGGGCAGGGATGCTCTGGAGAGGGATCTGGACAGGCTGGAGCAATGGGCCGAGGCCAATTGARGTACAGCAAGGACAAGTGCCAGGTCTTGCACTTGGTTCTCAACAGCCCCAAGCAATGCTACAGGACCTTGGAAGGGTGGCCTTTTCCTGGTGGAAAAGGACCTGGAGGCTCTGGCTGACAGGTTCTGAATATGAGCCAGAGTGTGCCMAGGTGGCCAAAGAGGCCAAAGGCATCCTGGCCTGTGTCACATTAGTGTGACCAGCAGCCAGGGCATCGATTGTCCCCCTGTACTCGGCACTGCTGCGGTCACACCTTGAGTGCTGTGGTCAGTTTTGAGCCACTCACTACAAGGACATTGAGGTGCTGAAATGTGTCCAGAGAAGAGCAATGGATTTGGTGAAGTGTCTAGAGCAGAAATCCTATAAGGAGCAGCTGACAGAACTGGGGGTGTTTAGCCTGGAGAAAAGGAGGCTCTGGGGAGACCTCATTGCTCTCTACAACTCCCTGAAAGGAGGTTGCAGCCAGGTTGGGGTCAGTCTCTTCTCCAGGTAACAAATAGCACAASAGGAAATGTTTTTGATTTGCACCCGGATAGCTTTAGATTGGATATTAGAAAAGTTTCTTCACTGAAATGGTTGTCAAACATTGGAACAGCTTCCCAGGGAAACGAAATATCCCCAGAGGTATTTAGAAGACRTGAAGATGTGACAGTCAGGGACATGGTTCAACAGTGGACTTAACAGTGCTGGTTAATGGCTGGACTTGATCTTAAAGGTCTTTTCCAGCCTAAACAGTTCTATGATTCTGTGATGACCAGGCTGATTTAGTGTTCATTTCTGCACAACAGTAACTTGGCCAACAGCCTACATCCGTAATTAATACATTTGGATCAATGACATTTGGCAATTATTTACTCATTACATCAGACTGCTTTCCATAAGAGAAGGTTTATTTGCAGCACCGTCCATGTGATGGGATGTGGATATTACTGGCTTCCTCTTTGTTACCTCAGGACACAGTCCCACATTCTGACCTTTCTTAGTGTATTCTGGCACAYATGAACTTTTTCCTSAAGTTTGGTTTTTGTTTTTGTTTTGGGGTTGTTTTATTTTCACTTTTGACTGCTTAATCTGTGAGTACTGAAACTAAGCACCAACAGTCACCTCTCACTGACAATTTTTGTATGCTCTGCAGTTACCATGGTACCAAYCTGAGCAGTTGATGCCTAAATATAGGGCAGGATAAAGGCTATATCTTTTCAAATATTAATAGAAAAAAGTAAAAATTGTCAGTGAATTTAGTGCTTCTGCAACTTGGGGTACTTGAAATACTGGCCAGTTTCATAAAACCTAGATTAAAATACTTAAATATCAGTCATGACATATTCAGTGTAGTTTACTGGTTCTCATGAAACTGATTTGAAAAAAAACCACCCCATTCTCAAAGAGGAAATTTTCAGATAGCCATATAACAGAACAAGTCTATCAAAGRCCATATAAAGAAGCATAAAGAATTACTTTTGCTGAAAAATGTTGGGTGACAGAAGCAACATGGAGATACYGTAAGGATTTAACACAACTGGGCCCTGGTTTTCACAGAATGTCTGCRCTGAGTACACATGGTTCAAGGAAGTGCTCATAGCAGGTAACATCTATCAGCCTTAAACTCACTCACAAAGGATAAATAAATATTAGGCTTTCATGGAAGCTGAACTGCGTGAAGAACTGTGCKGAGATTGCTTTGTCTATCCTCACAGTTTTTAGGAGAACATCAAACAAGGCATCAATGTCAAAGCAATTTTAAAGAATATGGTTCTAGCAGCACAAGTTCTCACACCCATTTATCTGAGCAGATCACCAGAAGCTCAGCTCTCTTGGTGACAGTGCTGCTCTCTCTCAGGGGTGACCCACAGGAGCTTACTGGTGAATTAATCATATCATGCACATTATTTTATCTACAAGTTGTCTGACGATTTCACAGTTGTAAGGACTTTGGAAAGGCACAAAGCAACTTTTCACWTATAAGATGCTAATTCACTCTTTTACTATCATGTAACTGAGCTCATGAAAATAAAATACCTGTTAAATAAGAGAAGAATATCTCCAACCCACTGCAAACTTCACTGAATATTTAAATATTTCTATGTATTTCTGCATAGCTAAACTGTTGCTTGTAGCAGCCCTGACATTCTGTGAGACTAACACCATATTTTGAYGTGATTTCCAACAGAAACACTGTTCCAGTTCACTAGCTCTTACTGTATAGTCAGGGGAAAAATTATTGCAAGGAAAAGCACATTTTAAAATGTCAGAACAACTGTTAAGATTCAGAATGCAAATTCTGCCTGTTATACTCCAAATCCTCTAAACCACCAAGCGCAGACTCTGACTGCAGGGGTGCTTGGCACAATATGTGATTGGGCTGGTATAGAAAGAGACATTCTGCACTTGAGAGTCTTTTTGAAGAWTAATTTTAAGGGGAAGAAAACATTGGGAAATTTCCAAAACATATAATGAAAAAAYGCTTCTGCATAGGTAGAAGACTTGCTTGAAGAATAATGTTAAACTTTTCAATTAACCAAATACCTTTACTTTCACTGAAGAAAGAATGAATCAAGACTTTTATGTGTTTCCCTATTACTTATCTACAAGCAATTTCTTTTCAGAGCCCTAAAATACTCCTGTGCTGATATCTACATTTAGAAATATAAGAATGCTCTGTTACATTCACACACTGGCTCCTATAAAATGTGAAATAAATAATGAAGAGATGGCTAAATGCCAGAACTGTAGCTTACTCTGCAATACAAAAATTCTGAGCTAAAATGAAATAGATGCAAATACTATAAAAAAACCCCACAGGTTGTAAACCATTGCAGTTCCCTTCTGCATGCTTAGACAACATTTCCAGATGTGCATCCTTTGTCCTTCTTCACCAAAAACTACCAGTGCAGAAATCAGATTGCTCGCTTGTGGGACTGTGATTTAAGGAGAAATACAGTAAAAATTTATATTAACCAAACTTTCCTTCATGAGGACAAAAGCTCTAAAATTCAGTTAAATCAGCTTATCAGTAAACCATAATCTGAACTTCAGCATTAGGGAAGACAAATGGGACTTTATCAAAACTGAGTATCCTTATCCACAGGGTTTAATCCCTTATAAATAATTATTAAAACTCTCCAACTTTTCTTAAGAATAAGTATTTCAAGTAGGTGAAATCCAGAAAGAYAATACCCACTTTCATTCCCACTGGATTGATGCATCTGGGGTAGTTAGGAGCTGAGCTCCCCCTCATCACACATCTCATGTCTCTGCTTTGGCTATCAATCCAGACTGATCTGCAAGCTTGCATCCTTAGAGAAACTCATTTGGCAGACAACACCAACAGAAGAAAAATAACTTACTGGTTGCAAGACACTGGTGGATTTTTTTCTAAACTTTAACTACTCCAATGCAAATTTTCTGTTTCAGATGTTTGTTTCAGAATCTTTATAAGATTGTTTCAATCTTCAAATTTGTTTTCAAATAAAGAGCCAGAGTAAATGCAAGCAATTTGTTTATTCCATGTTTAAAATATCTTGTGATCTTTTTCGACGAAAATTTCAATTCCTCTCCCCAGAGCTTCCAAGAGGGACAAGGTTTTAGGTCAAAGACAAGCATTTTGATGTAAAACCCATGTATTCAGTACCTAAATTCTCTCTGATTTCTGTTTATAATGGTAAAGCTTTAAGAAAATGCATCTCTGGCAGCACTATTGGACTTTGAGGGAGACTCATATGCCTATGAGCCACAAGACTCGCTGCCACACAGTGAATGAATTACCTGACAGGTAGACCTAAGAAAACTATGGATACTTTTCTATTGCAGTGTCAGACACAGGGTAGTGTCTGATTGTCTGGAAAGAGACCAAGACCCAGACTGCAGAGTAGAGAGCAGAAACCAGGGAAAGGTGCCATAGGTGAAGAATGGCATGGGAAGAAAAGAGGAATTTAAAAGGAAATTGAGTCTTTTTATGGTTCTATTGTGAAGCAAATATACAGGAAAACCAATGGCATGTCACTAAAGACTTTCATTATTTTCAAAATTGAATATAAAAGCTCTTGATAGAGTCACTTTATTACTTGCCAATGTTCTTAGCAACAGCTACATAAGCACTGGTATTTCTCACATAAGGTATTAATAGATACACACACTTACAACCACAGACCATTGCAAACCGGACTTTGTAGACTGCCCTACTTCCACTAAATCCACATGAATTGGACTGGGTTATAAAAGCAAAAAATATCATGCAGAACTTGTAAGTCTACCTTTCCTTTAGTGRATTTATCATCTTTTCTCATTGACTTTCTCCTGTCTGTGTCTCCCAAGGGGCCTTGCAGCATGACACACACACCTGCATCCATTCCTGACCCTGGGATAGCTCCTGTAGTGATGTAGAGAACTGTGGGGAAAAAGAGATCAAAGGTTTACCAAAACCAAACTAATTAAAACATATGTTGTTTAATAAATTATTACTATTATATTTTCATTTTTCCTCCTATCTGGAGTCATCGGAAGACCAAACTACATTGTAATGCTTGGAAAAGCACATAGATGCATTGTAATTAGAATTTAAGAACTTCTGTTGTAAAGAATAATAAGCTAAATAACTTTAGTGGGCCTTAAACACAGGCAGAAGAAAAAAAAATACCAAATAAACACAGCAAATTGCTATAAAAACATGTCAATAATACTCTTTCATTTATATGCATTTAAATACATAACACTCCAATGGAAAAGTTCCTAGGTTAAGGATGATACTAAATCACTCCACAAGTGATCCCTGCTCTGAGCYTCATGGAGTTCTAATGAAGTTGGACTCTGTCAGAAAGAAAGCAACTTTTATATTTCCTATGGATCATGGTCCAGCCAGTGGCTGGCTGCTTTCCACTGTACCATTGATGTTACTGTCCTTAGGAGGGGAGATGACATGTCAGAGAACACACAGTGTGAACACACAACCTTTCAGCTGAGCACTCCTTCAAAGGCTCCTTACGTAAAATATCTGTCTGTACTCCCAGAGAAATGCGTAACACACTGGTGATGTGGCCCCTAAAATAAGAGAGAAATCACAACCCCTAAACATTCAACTGAAAATGAGAAAGAAATGAGGGGAGAGGTAAAGAAGAAGTACCTGTTCTCATGTAAAATGCTCCTCAGAAAGAGGAGCAGCATTTTTAAGGATTTAAATATCTGTGCTCTTCCAGAAAGAAATAAATCTAAGAAGTATTTAAAAGCAAAGACCTTTCCCGGGGAATATCCCAGCAGTACTCTTCTAATATTCGTATTCAAGAAGCCTCTGCCTAAGTGCTTTGTTTGATACTAACTTTGAAAGCACAGCAAAAGAAGCAAGGAATATACAGATTACTTCTGTGCTTGACTTAAACCCTTAACTTCAGGAGTTTCCTAGAATATTCTCATGGTAGAATATTCATTTAGGATAAGAGCTCTTCCATTCTTCTCTAATTTAGTTGTAAAACCTTGTAAGAAACAGAGCAAATTAAAAATATCCAGTCTTGAGGAGACCAAAGTGCAACTCCGATGGAGTTTGATGACATGAAACTGCTAGGTCAGGGGAAAAGATGCCCAAACCTCTGGGAACAAAACAACAAGAGATCTGTTCTGAAGAGGCCATGGATCTTCTTGTATGAAATTAAGATACAAGAGTTATTTCTTCTGTATTTCCCTTGCTTACTCTGTGAGAGAACCAAATCATATTATTGAGAAAAAGCTGAACTCTGATTTCCATTCAAAACATTTTTAACAGTTTCAGTGCCCTATGCTCTCTTCTTTATGTGTCACAAACTGAAACCAATCAGACTTGAGGGAACAATGCTCAGTTATAGGATCAAAGACACTGGTTTTAAGCACWGGACTGCACCTAGCCATGCATCAACAGGTGGAAATTAATAGAAAATATCTGTGACATCCTTTGGACTGCTCTGAAAATTGGCCATCATCACCGACCAAATCTTTTCCAGTGTTTCTAATTTGTGACAAACCTGATGGAAAAGGAGAGCCAGCGGTGAGAAATGGAAGCTCAGCCACTCTTTCTACTTCTTCATCGGCAAAGTTATGACAAAATGGAAATTCTAGAATATTTTTTGTTTCTGTGTGTCTAAGCTTTACCTTAGCAGAGAGCAAAAAGAAATAACTTGAGCATCTGTTGCACTCTAATGCAAACTACAGCTAAAGACAAACTACTAAATAGCTATGACACATCAKCTCAAAATTTAAAAATAAGAGGAAATAATTTTTTTTCTAAAGTGTTTTTGAAAACAGACTTTTAAATGAGAAGGAATAGATATCTTTCCCAATTAAAGGTAATTAAAATGTTGTCAACATTATTGAAGCAGAGACTGCAGTGAAGGAAAAGAAATATTTGAAATTGCTCAAAAATGTTCTTTTATGTAACCTATTCATCCAGCATATGGAAGAAAAAGAAGTGTTGATATGGGCACATTTCAGCTTGTGAGAAATGTCAATATGCCACAATATTTTTCAGTGCAGAATGTTTTCTTATTCTAAGTAACAGGAGAAAGAAAAAGCAGTGTTTCTGGGAAAAACCGAAATACAGAAATTAGGAATGCATTCTGACGTATACATCASTACATGTGTATCACTTGAATATCTAGAGTATGATAGGATTTTCAATCTCTATAAAATTCTGTGTATAAACTAAGAAAATGGCGATCCTGAGCTAAGTGGCTTATTCCTACTATAAGAAAATATATTTTAATAATGAGACATCTTACACTATGGTACTACCAGATACACTAAGAGATAAAGTCCCATTTTCTAACCTATTCAAACCTAGACAAGACAGCATGTTTGAAAAGATGTTGTAGGAAGTAATCCTGCTTTGAAAAGGGCACTTATCATTCMCTCCTTCAATTCTTCGTGACCTAACACACTAAAATGTCCAAACCTTTAAGCCAGTGAGCAAAACCAACTTTGGTTAGGAATTGTCACTGGGAGATGGAAGCATTATTTTGTCTTCTTAAGACTCAGTATTTTTCCTTATGACAGACACACTGAAAAGATTTTTTTAAATGCACTGTGAAGTATAATGCTAGGACAATTTCCCTTTCATAATAATACCTGCATTCCTGAACAGTTTATTGAAACTCAGATTTCATTTASTGTGTTTTATTTATCCAAGAATTGAAACAAGCAAGAATGAAGATGTTAGAAATAAAGCATATCTTAATTAATTTTGATGTGGGCATTAATTTACAATGATCTCAATTTCCTCAAAAAAATCGAGATAATTATTTTGTAGTTATGGCTATAAGAGTGAGTTCTAGATCTAAATATGGAATTCAGCCAACTATACTTGCATTTATTTTTGATAGAAGGGGGAAATCTCAGACTCTCTGGAGGTGCAATCTTTGTAAAATCAAAACAAAATTGCATAGAAATGACCATGCTGATTCTAACCAACAGTGTAAATACACTRCTAAGCTGTCTTTAATAACAGATATTATCCACAACCTCCTATACCAACCTAGTTATTTCATACAAGGATCCAGCCAGTSCTGCTATAAAAACCATGGAATAAGAGGAAATGTCTTCCTAAAATCTAAATAATTTACGTGTCCCAAAGCAGGGAAATTTATTTCTTTCTTTACCTCTTCTACCTAGGGTAAATGTGTGTCTTTTCCCTATTTATACAAATTATGCTGATCTTTTTTAAACTGAGTTTTGAGTGGTTGTTCTGAGCTAATTGAGTAAAGCAGACTAATAGATGTCTGTTTTCAACTGCCAGATTTCTGTTCTGAAATTTTTGTTRTGATCTACTGTCTCCTACAATACTCCAGTAACTGTCTTAATTTTGATAGATTTGTTGGATGACTATTTCATCTGGCTATGAAGATGAAATTAACAACCTGCCTACCATTTAAATGTCAGGGAGTTCAGCTCACTAATACCATGCATTGGAAAGGAAAATTATTTTTTCTCCAGTTTTCAATGAGAACAAAATAGAAACATTAATGGACAAAGCACGTCTGCTATTTGAAAGAAGATGASTCTTTCCTTTAGAATTGTTTTTATTTTGCCAGCATAAGAAGATGAAGATATTTTTTTGTATAGTGAAGTGCCACAGCAATTTCAGTGTGATGTCGGATTTTAGCTGGATATCAGAAGAAAGATTGTCACTTTTGCTATTCACTTCTTTTTTTCACATGCCAACTTAAAAGGCAGATAGTTTCATCAAAATGCATTTCTAGTGTCTGGCTTAATTATTTGCCTTGGATCACTGAATCTACAACATGTAACAGTCAATTTGGAGTTATGTAAATACTGCTATGTATGCCAGTGGCTACAGTTCTGAAAAGACATCACTGGATATGCTACAGATGATGGCACATCTGTATATATGGCTCTCCAGAAATCCATCCAAGTTTACAAGATTTTTGTTATCCATGGCTATCCTCGTGTTTTGAGCAGTCGCTGAAGTTAGCACTCTACAAGTGTGGCAGCTTCTGTAAATTAAAAATTATTCCATTTCAGACAGGACTGAAAACTGAAAGAAATAGCAATA